AGGCAGACACCTACATGAAAACACACGTATTGCCCCACTCCACCTACACCAACATGCCACACACAGACGCACACTTTTTCAGTGCTGTCTCCTGGGTGCTAATCTAACGTGGGTTTGTCTATTTCTTCTTGGCTTTGATGTCTTTCACCCTCTCCACCTGACTTGCCAAAGTCACCTGAGAAGAGAGAGCCTATCAGGCTTCCGGGCTGTCAGCCATGAGCAACAGAGGGTGGCGATTAATTTCACCTAATCACTGTCCCAGCATGATTACCAGCGGGAGCTGCTGACCTGAATGACATTTGTGAAATGTCTTTCATGAGTGAAAACAGCTCTCTTATGTCACTGACAAGCTCTTTGCTTTTATTTTGTGCCAAGGGACCATGAGCAAGTGCAAGAGATGGGTGGGAGTGGGGTCGAGGTCAGAAACTAACAGAAACAAAAGAAAGACGAAAAAAAAGGCTTGCCTAGAAAGATATAGGATTAATGGACTGTTCTAAGGAGGACTGTTTCCGGGTCTGAATTAATTGCAATCCCCCTTTTTTTAAAAACAAATTTGGACAAGTAATCCTAAAAAAATCCCCCAGAAACAAAACAATCTAAAACAAAAGAAAAAACAATAAAGTTATCCTGACATTTATCTAAGTCATAAACTTGGTCTTTAGACAGTAAGAGTGGTTGCTGAGAATGAGTCTGCCACCTGATTTAATGTCCATCAAGTATTCATGTCTTTGTTCATGTGCATAGCAAGATTTTTTAATACCCGCGAGGGCCCTTTTTTCCCTTAATGCTTTAGATTAATAACAATAAACTGAAACTATGGGCACGGAGGACTCTACATGAAATTTCTGTAATATTCTCAGGCTAATGTGTTACGCTTGGGATAAATATAGCACACAAAGATCTAAATTTGTTGACAATATGCACTGTTATGTGTAAACACACATCAAATAAGTGAGCCCAAATACACCATGATATAGATGGTTTGTAATTACTGTTTGCTGAATGATGCACTTTATTGCATTTCATTTATGTGGGTCACAAGGTTAATAACCCACTTTAGTGATATATAACATTCATCTCATGCAGAAGCCTCTGATGGAATATGTGAATCCAGCATGTAATTTATTGTTAGAACATTTCCTTTCCCTCCATCTCTCAAACCCTCGGCAATAGTGACCTCTATCTCATGGCTACACTCCACAATAACTACCTCCTGCTAACTGTATCTATTTGGTGTCATCTGTTGCTTCACACTAAAGCGTGATTGTCGAGGCGGATGGATGAGTTTGGCGGGAGGCTGAGGGCATGATGCATCTATTTCTGCAATAAGTCCACTCTGACGACGGCGCCTGTGTAGCAGAGATATCTCAGTAAACTGAATATCATTCTCTGAGACATGAGATATGAGCGTGAGCAGTTTCATGTGCTGCTCTGCTCTCAGTGCTGTCGGGGGGATAAAAGGAGGGAGAGGAGAGAATCCACTGAGAAACTCGTTCAGACGCGACGGTGTGGCATACACATTTCTGTGCCGAGAAACAAAGAAACAGTGAGTGGACACACTGCAAAATGAGAGTCAGTCAGAAGCGTAATACCCACATGGCTAGATTTCCAGTGATGTTAAATATCTAAAGACTGTTGTGACAGTTTATGGCTTGTTATATGTATACTTTACTAGCTGCAGTGCACAGTGATAAGATGAGGCTGCGTAGGTTCCTTTTTTATTTGGCTAAACATGAGGGTGGAGTGATGTCTGCTTGGCCAATGTTCCCTCAACATATTCAGCAGACCATTGTGCAAGTTGCATTTAAAGAGGACAGAGGTATTTCTGGTTCCAGTTTATTCAATTTCTTTTTTTTCATATGGCAGATATAATTTGTACTTTCTCAGTTCTGCAGCAATATGCATTCAATGACCGTCCTTGAGCCCACATAATGATTTCCACCACAGAATGTGCTGGTTATTCATCTTTTAATGAAGGTCTCCCTGAGTGCAGGTCACAGTCATTCAGTACTGGTTGTTGGCCTTGCTTGTTGTGTACAAAGACATCTCATCATATTATGTACTGTAGATTATGGAATCCATAAATGCATTAGAAGCAGAGTTAAACTTTCTGGCACAACTTTACCTACTTTTCAGGTAGGTAAAGAAAATAAAATCATAACGAGTTAAAGCTCCTGCAACACTTGTAGCAAACAGAACAACATTACCGACTGACTGATGGCTTTTGGCTTCATCATTTGCCCAAATAGTGAACTAGTTGCCCACACAGTCTTTCTCAAACAGG